AATTAATTCCACGTAACTTCATAGAGAAGGTTATTTGTGCTCATCTAACAATTTATACAAAATACAAGACAAGGCACTGTTAGTTCGTTCAGAATAACAATCTTGAGCAGCTGATGGTGACGGGCAAGTATAGGGAGATATAAACGTCCCAGAGGATACAGTCCCATGAGATGGTCGGGCCAAATTCGACCTCGTCTGGACATCAAACTGTATGATGCCCTCCACAAGGCCAAGGATTGCAGCAGATGGAGAGCCATTATACAGGATTGACAGTACAGACATTGCGTGGTTTGTTTCCCAGCTAAAAATTAAGCTAAATAATCCAGGCTATCACACGAACAGATAAAGCAATGAATGAAAATAAAAACAAAACCAAAAAAGACAAACTGTTAAGTACTTCGCGATGGAAAATTAGCAGGACGAAATACCTACCCGTCGAAGCCCACAATAAACTTATCAGCAGTAAGATACACTACGCCTCATCATAATTAATACAATGGCCATAAGAACGCATGGATTTGATAGAAAAAATTCCATCCATCGAACATCGTACAATAAAAACGCGAGATATTCTCGTGAGATAACTAGAATGGTTTCTGAGTAGGTATTTGGAGTGTTTTTTTTTGTTGTTATTGTTACCAATATACCGCTCTAATAACCGTCTTTTTGTTATTTTTTTTTCTATTGAATTAGTGACGCTGTCGTGATTTGAACACGGATTGTTTTGATATATTAACCCTCAAATATCCAGCTAGTGATTACCGTCCTCGTCGAACCTGTCGAATGCGATGAAGGGTTCGGCGAGTAAATTGACCCTCAGACACAACCCGCTGAGTTTCTCGCCGGAATTTCTCAGTGGGTCGCGTTTCCGATCCAGTGGTAGATTCTACGAAGCACTGCTCTTGCTAGGGCTAGTGTTAGCAAATTCGCCAGCTGAGCCCCGTGAGCTCGCCTACACGTTAGGTGAATCTGGTATAACCTCTGGAAATTGACAGGATAGGTATCCAAAAAAGGTAATAATTTTCAGCGTAGAGATCATGTTTTTTTTTTATTATTGCCGAAGCTGATGGTATCGAAAGAACATATCAGCGTAACCTTACCTAGTAGGTGAGCTCACGGGGCTCAAACCTGAAGATGTTGCTAACACGAACCCTAGAGATCCTGAGTATATTTGTGGCGAAGCAACATTACATTCTTTTCGGCTTAAGACGCATTTACTGATTATTGAGCCAATATTTCCTCTACAGACCTATGATCCATAAGGAGTGTTCAGAGGTCATCCATATTTGGAACCGATGTATCCATCCACAGTGCGTTATCAGAGACCTTCTGGCATGTTCCATGCGGACGGATAAACTTCCACGGCTATGACCTGTTTGCTTAGTGCGAGTTTTTTAACGTTCTCGATAACGTAAAAGTTAACTCATATTTGTATGGAATGGGAGCGTTTGCCTACGTTTGCCGGTAGGGGCGCTGTTCCAACTGCATACAAAGTTGAATTAACTTTTACGCTATCGAGACCGTTAAAAAAATCGCACTAAGCACATTGTTCTCAACGACAATCGGCATCACTACGCAGCGACTTGACTATGCCATCTGTGTACAGCAATGGAAAAATATGAAGAAAAAAAATCGGTCGTTCAATCAATAATTAATACAATAGACAGTTAAACCTATCCATATTATAAGAGCTCATTACATAATGTCTAACTGGGTAGATATTCAATCTATTTGCTGGCAAGTTTATCATTGACAGGCGCGGTGATAAATTCGTATTTTAGATGCTCATAAAAACCGTAAATTGTTATTGTGGAATGCCGGAAATATGATTTCGTACCTCGTTCCGGTGATGTGAAAGGAGAGAAAAGGAAGTAAAAAAAATTCCTAGACATAACGAGAATTAATTTATGCATTACCCAATTGATTATTTACACTGACTACTATTTTGAATACAGTGACATCTAACGTAAAATGTAAGAACTAAATCAAAACGAGAAATGGTAGCGTGTTTTTTTTTTTCTTTAATAAATTTTAATATGTTGGTTTTAGAGTAAGAGTTTTGTGATCTCAAGTAAATAATAACCCTTACTCAAATTAAATTTCAACGTCTATGTATTGTATACGTCTATATTGTTAATTTCATTCTTTTTATATATAGTGTCATCTATCGAACTTTACGGCAAACATGAAAGCTTTGTTTAGAAAATTTCGAAGGGTTCCACCTTGTTCATCAAAACTACACTAGATGGCAGCAGCACGACCAAGCGTGATTCAAAATAATTTTTAATAGAAAAAAATCTAATTCTAATCAATTTATCAATTATTATAAAAGTTTTTTTTTTGATCTTTGCCAAATATACGCCAAATTTACATCTTAAATTACCATGTCTAAAAAACATCCAACTTAATTTGCGAATATTTTTAATTTTTTATTGCCCTTGTAGGCAGACGAGCATACGGCCCACCTGATGGTGAGTGGTTACCGTCACTCATGGACTTCAGCAATGCCAGGGGCAGAGCCAAGCCGCTGCCTACCGCTTAATACTCTCCATAAGCCTCGTTTAAAGAAGGACATGTCATAGCGCTCGGGAAACACCGTGGAGGGGAGGTCATTCCATAGCCGGATGGTGCGTGGCAAAAAAGATCTCTGGAAGCGCACTGTGGATGACCGCAGTGGCTCCAGGTAGTATGGACTTTGAATGACGAAATCAGTCTCATTTGCAATGGAAATATTAATGTTCTATAGTTTTTGAAATCGCACAATAGAAACTCAAAGAGCCGTCTTTTTTAACGTATTATTTTATATCCTTGTTTCAAAAATGTTTACTCCTTTATTACAAGACAAGATAATAAGCAATATTCCATGCCTGAACTAAACATTTAGCGGCAGAGTGCGCCACTTTGAGAAGGCGGCACGACCCGAAAACCTCTTGTCGTAATCGCAGGAAATTAGATACCCGATCCTGTAGACCGAATGGTAAACCTTCGACGTCGACCAAAACCCGTCATTACGGATCCTCCCGTTCTATTAACGGTGCTTTTAGGTACTACAAGCACCGGTCACCGTCCTCGTCGAACCCGTCGCTTGCGACGAAGGGCTCGACGAGTAAATTAACCCACAGACACAGCCCACTGAGTTTCTCGTCGGATCTTCTCAGTAGGCCACGTTTCCGATCCGGTGGTAGATTCTGCGAAGTACTGTTTTTGCTAGGGCCAGTGCAACACTCCCAGTTTGAGCCCCGTGAGCTCACCTACTAGCTCGGTCAATCTAGAATAGCCCCTCAAGGTTACTAGAATAGGTAGGGGGAAAAAAAAGAGTTCGACGTGGAACCTAATCCATATATCGGCCAGCTGAGCTTCGATTCCGATCCGGTAGTAGATTAATTCCCGAAGCAGCTGCTCTTGAGTCATAGGTCTCCTTCTGAGGCGCTCGGGCAGTTGTAATCAAAGCTGTTAGCAAATCTCACCCTTCCTGGTTGAGCCTTTGGCGCCCACCTGTCCTGGTGAAACTGGAAAGGCCTCAGGGCCACCAGTAATCGTTCAATCAAGTGGTGGTAGGACTTCTTGTGAGTCTGCGCGGGTGGGTACCACCACCTTGCCTATTTCTGCCGTGAAGCAGTAATGCGTTTCGGTTTGAAGGGNTACCACGAACACAGAAACAACAAAAGGAAACAAAACAAATAAAAACTTCCAGAAAGAGCACTTAGTCGGCAGATGTACCACAAACACAGGCCGCGCGAACAATGGCCGGGCTAACAAAAGCCGGGCGAACAAAGACCGGGCGATCGAGTGGACGATGAGCACGTCCGCACGTGACGGGTGCCTCTATCGGAATGATCCGTTATGGTAGCCATACACGTAACGATATACTTGTGCAAGCTTAGACTTGCACAAGTATATGGTCACTCCTGAGTGACCACAGACGGCTCAAGTATGATTGAACGATATCATTTTTATGAAAGTGAGCAAAGCATCCGGGTGTGTCGATGGACGAAACTTAGGCAATAGTTGGTTTAATATTTCCTAGCAAAAAACTGAAAAGACTTAAAAGAAACCGAAATATATGGTGTAAAGACTGGTTAAAACAAAGAGAGCATTATTCGCACATCAATTTATTAAATGAATTAAAATTTGCAAAATCAGACTTCATTTCTGTAAATATTAATAAATTCCTCCAAATTGTCTCGAACTCCATGTCTCTCACTTGTCATTTTAGCGCGTTTAAACATTGGTTTAAACCGACCGCAGGACGTGCGAACCATCAGGCGGTTACCATACTACTGTGACTTCGAACGCCGGCATGCCACACACGTTCAAGTAAACTTGCGCAAACGGAAATTTGCACAAGTTCGAAATCGAAAATTGAAACTTTTTTAAACTTGTACAAGTCTAGAAATTTGCGCAATATTTTTCCAACACACGTTACTGCATACTTGTACAAGTGTAAACTTGCACAAGTATATCGTTACGTGTATGGCTACCATTAGGCTACGACGACTTCAAACGATTTCAAACTACGATACTTACCAGGTAGGTGGGCTGTGAGCTCGTCCACCCATCTAAGCTATAAAAAAAAAGTGTAGTGCATGGGTATAACAAATGGATTCTGTGATAGTTACCATCGATGTACGTCAGATTAAGCATGAGTAGTTTCAAAATCAATCGACTTTTACTTGTATCAGATCTGTAAAAATATCTCCCATTGATCTAAGAAATTACTATTACCTACTCATCATTTTGCAGTTATCGAATTTTAATTTGATTCGCTTTATTCCGATAGGTTAAAATACACTATTTTGACTGAGTTGGTTTTCAATCAAATGCTATTATTATCAATTAAGTCAGATAATTCGGTCCAGTTCATTGTGCCATCACACGTCTTCCGAGATAAACGAGAAAAGAACCTGTAACTCAGTACCTATCTTCCTTTATCATTGGCCGGGGACTTCACCTCCTGTGCGTAGGAGTCATATAAATACATCCACTCGCAATAGTTCGGCACATTCTGTCTCGAGCAGCGAAACCTGTCACAAGTAAGTGCTTTATTTTAACATACGTGAGATCTTAGAACTTATATCTCAAGGTGGGTGGCGCATTTACGTTGTAGATGTCTATGGGCTCCAGTAACCACGGTTTGCGGTAGGCAGCGGCTTGGCTCTGCCCCTGGCATTGCTGAGGTCCATGGGCGACGGTACTACTCACCATCAGGTGGGCCGTATGCTCGTCTGCCTACAAGGGCAATAAAAAAAAGCTTAACACCAGGTGGGCTGTGAGCTAGTCCACTCATCTAAGCAATAAAAAAAACCAGGCTCCTGTACCTTCAGTACCAGGGGCACAGGCAAAGCTGCTGATGTGGCCTTCTCGAGCCTCGTTTGAAGAAATATTCTGAGCGCTGTGATATGTACTTCTTCAAACGAGGTTGCGAGTCTCCTCAGTGGTGGGCTTAGTGGGATCCCTGGTATAGCTTAAATCTTTGGAACTCGTTAACCGTCCACCAATAAATGGGTTAGCTCTTCTATCATCTGATGTCATATCGCTCGACAACCACTAAGGATGTGAGTGCTATTTGGACATATTTTTGAACGTAACTAAAATCCCTGGTCTCATTGACAACGATCAGCCACTGTTAATAGGCCGTGCCAAAACTGTGTGTAGTAAAGAGGTCTTATCTAAGACTGAGCCCAAGGGCATAACACCTAGACGTGAGGCCTTTCACTCAAATCGACTATAGTAGAAATAAGGTTCAAAGTATGTCTAATTGATACCATTATCTTGCTTTGTTCTGTTTTTCAGTTCAAAATGTATTCCAAGGTGTTGTTATCCGCTGCACTCCTTGTATGCGTGAGCGCTCAAGTTTCTATGCCTCCTGGTTACGCAGAGAAGTGAGTACAAACATAAATAAACAAACGTGTGGCACTCGGGAACTGCCGCGGTAAAGCTATTGCATAGCATTTTTTATCAACTTATGCAATTATAATTAGACAATGATAATTTAATATTAAAACAAGACCACGCTATATTATACATTAATAAAAACAAAACATTAACTGTCCCCTTCATAAGCTAAATCGCGCGAGAGAGAGATGGGCAGACTTTTCATGATGCGCATGCAGTGTGACGTCACGCCACGCGCTTATTCACAAACACCACTTAAGCGCAACGTATGAATGTGTTGAACGCGAGCTACATAGTAGGCGTAGTGTGGTGTTAGGTTATTTTCGTTACGGAATTTCTTGATTCAGTCGCCGCGCTCAAAGCCCACAATAAGTAATAAGTTTGAAGTCGTCGTGGCCTAAAGGATAAGACGTCCGGTGCATTCGTATATAGCGATGCACCGGTGTTCGAATCTCGCTGGCGGGTACCAATTTTTCTAATGAAATACGTACTCAACAAATGTTCACGATTGACTTCCACGGTGAAGGAATAACATCGTGTAATAAAAATCAAACCCGCAAAATTATAATTTGCGTAATTACTGGTGGTAGGACCTCTTGTGAGTCCGCGCGGGTGGGTACCACCGCCCCGCCTATTTCTGCCGTGAAGCAGTAATGCGTTTCGGTTTGAAGGGTGGGGCAGCCGTTGTGACTATACTGAGACCTTAGAACTATATCTCAAGGTGTGTGGCGCATTTACGTTGTAGATGTCTATGGGCTCCAGTAACCACTTACACCAGGTGGGCTGTGAGCTCGTCCACACAAAAAAAAAAAAACTATGCAATAGCTTAATAATGTGTTCCCTACAATTTGGTTCATGCTACAATAAATTTACTACCATCATTTCTTTTATACACTCTACTTTCTTGTCCCGATTCTGCTTGGGGATAACACTGCATTTAAAGGTAATTTTTTTTGGTACGAGAAAAAATCGTATTTGGACCTTCTATTATATACGTATTGCTTGCTACATTGGCTCTTATATAAATCTGGGCTTTCTTCACCTTTTTCACCAAAGCGGCATATTCAAAATTGACTTCTTTCCACTAATTGAAAGGTATCTGCTTTGAATTTAGCATTTAGCGCCCTCATTTTGACGACGTAGCTAACATCAGTGACAGATTAATTAATTAATCTTTATTTGAACACAAATTTACAGGTATCCGATCACCAGCCAATTTTCAAGGTCAGTCCGACACCCTCGCGATATTCACGACTTTGTCACTTGGGACAAGGAAATGGGGGGAGGGAAGGTCTTCGGGACTTTGGGAGAGAGCGACCAAGGACTTTTTGTAAGTACAAAATATCGGGACTTTTCGGTAAGGAACCGTACTTTTGAAAGTTTCAGTTTCATTCACCTACAATGTAAATACGACGAATTTTGTAGTTATTTTGATCAGTAGTGTGCTGCTAGTGTATTCTCCAGTAGCCAATCGTTAAATAATGTTATAAGCCTCATAAAACGCTTGTTTTGCAACATCTTTATCGATCATGGGTAGCCATTGTGGTAACAAAATCGGTTATTCTCAAGACCTTTGGGTCCTTACACTTGTTTATTCTTAACTCAGCGTTTGTATACAATTTTATACAGAAAAGACTACGGATTCTATTTCTGCAAAAAAATATTCTATTTATGATATTCTCTTTTTGTAGGGTAAAGGTGGTTACAACAGGGAGTTCTTCAATGATGACCGCGGCAAACTGACCGGACAGGCTTACGGCACCAGAGTATTAGGGCCTGGAGGCGACAGTACCAGTTACGGTGGTCGTCTAGACTGGGCCAATGAGAACGCCAAGGCTGCTATTGACTTGAACAGGCAAATTGGTGGCAGCGCTGGGGTAAGTTTATAATCCACTCTATCTATTTATTTACCAGCCTACGACGTTCTGGACAAAGGCGTCTTTATTTATTGCCCTTGTGGGCAGACGAGGAAATGGCCCACCTGATTGTGGGTAGTTACTACCGCTCATGGATGGCATTCATACCAGGGGCAGGGTAAAGCTGCTGCCTACCGCTGACTATTCTTCGCAAGCCTCGTTTAAAGACGTCTCGGAAAGCATATCATGGCGTGCAAAAACCCCTTTGATGGGAGCTGATTCCAAAACCGGATGGCGGGTGCCAGAAACGATCTCTGGAAACGCACTGTGGATGAACGTATTGGTAAAAAAAGTCTCTTTCAAGTTCCGCCACAATACGCTGCCTGCCACCAGCGGGTTCCCAGGACCAGAAAATTATAATTTGCGTAGTTACTGGTGGTAGGACCTCTTGTGAGTCCGCGCGGGTAGGTACCACCACCCTGCCTATTTCTGCCGAGAAGCAGTAATGCGTTTCGGTTTGAAGGGTGGGGCAGCCGTTGTAACTTGAGACCTTAGAACTTATATCTGACGGTGGGTGGCGCATTTACGTTGTGGATGTCTATGGGCTCCAGTAACCACTTAACACCAGGTGGGCTATGAGCTCGTCCACCCATCTAAGCAATAAAAAAATCCTTCAACAGGTCATCGATCAACCTTGTAGAAGGCTTATTCACGTTATGTCTTCTGGTACGTGGTCGTCACTCGGGAACTCTTTTGGCTCCAGTGGCCGTCTTTTTTATCACAGCGTAAAAATGAACAAACCTATGACTCAGCTTGAATATCTGGATTGTTTTTTATTGCCCGTGAAGGCAGACGACGAGCATACGGCCCACCTGATGGTGAGTGGTTACCGTCCCCGATGGAATTCAGCAATGCCAGGGGCAGAGCCAAGCTGCTGCTTACCGTTAAGTACTCTCCACAAGCCTCGTTTGAAGAAGGATATGTTATGTCGATAGATGTCGTCCAGGCGTACATTATCACCAGGGTATTGATTAAGTTTTCGTTTACAGATCGAAGCATCAGCTTCCGGCGTGTGGGATCTTGGTAAGAACACTCACTTGTCAGCCGGCGGAGTGGTCTCTAAGGAGTTCGGTCACAGAAGGCCTGATGTCGGTTTACAGGCCCAGATTACTCACGAGTGGTAATTGCCAACAGCATTATCAAAGCAGCTATATAAGTGCCGCTTAGACAAGCATTCTTGCCTCGTAAGCCTAGAAGTATGAATAAAATTTTGTCTAAAAAAATTTTTATAAAAATCGATTGATTTGTAACCATTTATCTGCGTTCTGTAATTTCCTCTTTAATCACCAACATTCATCTAACATTTTTTAAATAAGAATAAAAATAAATTTCTTAATATAAATGGGTTTATTTTTTAATGATCCGAGTAAGTCAATAAATTTATATCACCAACGAACACAAAGCTAAGATTTATATACAAGACAAGTATAATGATGGTAGGGAGTATGGTAAGCGCACGGGTGGTCACCATCGTTTTGCTAAGCCGTTATTCGATACAGCTGAGTTGTCGTTACCATGAGTTTCGATAGCCACTTGACAAGTGGACCGTGAGCCCATTCAGATGTCTATAAATTATCAAAACACGGGGCGGTACATGCCATGGGCAGTAGCTTGCTGTACGTGCTAGGAGGAATAACATCGTGTAATAAAAATCAAACCCTCAAAAATTCTATTCTGCGTAATTACTGGTGGTAGGACCTCTTGTGAGCCCGCGCGGACAGGTACCGCCACCCTGCCTATTTATGCCGTGAAGCAGTAATGCGTTTCGGTTTGAAGGGCGGGGCAGCCGTTGTAACTATACTTGAGACCTTAGAACTTATATCTCAAGATGGGTGGCGCATTTACGTTGTAGATGTATATGGGCTCCAGTAACTACTTAACACCAGGTGGACTGTGAGCTCGTCCACCCATCTATGCATTAAAAAAGAAACCTTGAGCTGCTAAAGATGTTTGAACAGCTGTTATCTAATCCCATTTCTCCTGACTGAGCCCCGGTGGCCCCAATTGACCCGAGGGCCTCAGGGCCACCGGTACTCCTTCCAATCTAAAAGAAAAAAATCGGTTGTCTGTAAAGTCGGTTTACTGACGATAGTTGAACGCGACAACGTCATAAAAAAAATACGCCTCAGAGCGAGGTAACGCCGCATGAGTCATGTTTTTTCGTGCGTGCAGCCGGCTCCATCGAATTATAAGACGTTGTCACGTCAAAAACACGTGGAAATTTTTCTGTTTAACATTTCCTAAACTCAATTAGTTTATTGTCACTATTCACATCGGCTACTCTCGGCAGAGCGGCTGTGCTACAATTAAATTAACTAGAGGCCCCGCAGTAGTCGAAATTCGACTATAATTAATTGGAATTGTAAGTTTGTACACTATTATGATTGTATTTTATTATTCTATAATCACAAACTTCGCCAAGACTACACTATAAAAAATATTAACAAAGACAAACAATATTTAACCTATTCTCAATTTGAGCACAGACGTCAAGAACAAAAGTTTGACAATAAATAGTATGCATGCGTGTGTGCGTCAAATACATGGTATGTAGTGTGTGTAATGTTTTTTTTATTGATTTAATGTATCCTTTAAGAATTATTTTTAAAAAAAATTAGCATTATGCACTTCTTCTCTATATTCTCTATAAGTGTGGAAAATTTCATACTCCTCCGTCCGCGCAATTTTCGTAAAAAGGGATACAAAGTTTTTGCTTCACATAATACGTGATATAGATAAAACAACATTAACTAAACGAATGATTATTCGTGAATTTTCCGTGCACACGCTTTTTCAATTATTCAAAATCTTTTTTTTTTTGTATTGCTTAGATGGGTGGACGACCTCACAGCCCACCTGGTGTTAAGTGGTTACTGGAGCCCATAGACATCTACGACGTAAATACGTCACCCACCTTACTCTACTTAATCTAAGTACAGGAAGTTTGTTTGAATCTCGTCGAAAGATCGGCCTTCTTCAAACGAGGCTTGTGGAGAGCATTAAGCGGTAGGCAGCGGCTTGGTTCTGCCCCTGGCATTGCTGAAGTCCATGGGCGATGGTAGCCACTCACCGTCAGGTGGGCCGTGTGATCGGCTGCCTACAAGGGCAATATAAAAAAAGATATGTCTCATAACCGGTGTCAATTGGAGCGGCAGCCAATTCTTGTTTATATTTAACCGACAGCTTGCAAAACCGAAGCTTTTTATATTACCGTGACTGCTTTGTCGGTTACTGCCGTAGCTTATATTAGTTTACCTTGGAAGTTGGGATAAAGTACATTATAAGCAGATAGAAATGAGTATATAAGGAAAAGTAAGGTCAGTGTCGTAAGAGGGTCATACACAAAAAGGGTAAAAAAAGTGTTAAAGCAATGTATCATCTAAAAGAGCAAATTGGCGAATATTTGAAAGTATTTAAATCGTAAAGGTACTATATTACTACTCATTTTAATCGTATCTTGTAAAATATTACATTTCATAAATTCATTTTGATGGCGTTAAACATAAAAAAATCTCTTCCTGTGGACTGTTACAAGTCGAAGGTATAATGTTTGAGCCATGTTTAAAAATAGTTAAAGTACCCTATATATTAAAATTATTTACTTGTAACACAATCAATATAATAAAGATGATAATATTGAGAATAACAAAAATATATCGTTACTATCTGTATACAATAAATCCAATAAACTTATGGTTACATGAAATGGAGTCTTTTCTGTGGACGCGATAAAACGACATCAAATTTTAATTTATTCGACCGCATTAAGTTTTTATTTTTAACTGTTGGCATCACTAAATAGTGGCCATTCCGGCGTTTGATATTTTGTTGTTTCGATTCCAGTGCGAGTGAAAATATATTTTTTATTCCAAAACACACATAAACGTAAAAGATCAAGTGTTCTTTCCTGTTCCAATTATAGACATGTAAATATTATCTATAAAAATGTATATTTATTGTTTTTATATGAGCATTTAGTACAAGTAAATAAAAAGCTTGTTGCTTGATTTCTAACCTTAAAGTTAATTTCTTTACGCAAGAGTTTTTATAATACATCTTTTCTGTGGACATCTTTCATGTGGTCCCGATGTCCACCGAAAAGACTATGTCCACAGAAAATGTGTAAGAAACATACCTTAGTAGGTCTAAGTAGAGAAAGTAGTAAGTAGAAAAATAGTTGAACCGAGGGCCTACTCCTTTTTAAAAGTTGGTTAGAAAGAGGTTTGATTTTGGCCACATTTGATATTCTAAATTAGAGCCTCAAACTTTTTAGTACATTTTATATTCGCAATAAAAAAAATTATAAATCTAATCAATGTAAATAGAGGAAACGAAAACATTTTTTTTATTGTTATTGATTTCGTTCAGGGGGTTCAACCCTTGGGTCGTGGGTTGGTCCATATCTTGCTTCGTTTTAGTTCATGCTGATTCAGACGATTCTGATAGTTCTCTGGAAATATTTTGAAATAATCAAATTCCTTAAATTTCATTACATTGCATATTAAAATTCATTAGCTATTTAAAGAATTATATAAGAGTAATATACCATGGCTGTAAAATTATTATCATTCGAAATTTTGTTTTGTTTCATAAGTCCACCGAAGGGATTTTCCTTTTTGTAGATATTATTATTTTATTTTTTATTTTCCAATTAATGTGATTAGTTTGACATTTTATTTGCGTTTCGGTATTCGTTTATATCAGTGGCTACATGTGTTTGATTATGTTGTCTTAATATATTTTAGCTTACGCTGCATCACAGCTTTTCATCTCTCTTGTAGACTAAATTTTCTCTTCTGTGGTCCGCAAAAATATAAAAATTGCGATTATGCCAAAAATAAGACATATTGATCTCGGTTACAGTGATTAAAAGATTGATAATCAATAGCTAAATAATAAATATGTTTGTTTCACACTGATTCTGAGATATTTTTTTGCTGCACTTTTTTATTCTCTATTTGTGTATGACCCAAGATAAAACTGATGAGGTATGTGGCCACGAAGACTCTGGGTATCAATGTAAGACGTATTGTAAGGGTGTTCAAAAAAGACAATTATAAGTCTGAACATTATTATCGTTCTTTTGTCAAAGACTATAATATTATACTTCTATAATCACAGCTTTCGCTAAGGCTTACACTATAGACAAATAATATTAAAGAAATCAATATTAATCTAGTCTCAACTTGACCACAGACTTTAACAATAAACAAAATAGTATAATTGCGTGTGTGTGTCAAATACATGTACAGTGTGTGTAATGTTTTCTTGGGTGGTTTAATGTATTTTTTATGCATTATTTAAAAAAAAAAATTGCGTTCTGCACTCCTTCTCTATATTCTCTATAAGTGTGGAAAATTTCATACTCCTCCGTCCGCGCGATTTTCGTAAAAAGGGATACAAAGTTTTTGATGTGAAACATCTATAGCCGCACGTAAAACCGATTTCTGGCGTGGCGACGCGTCGCCATGCGCAATCGACTGTGCGATTCTCTCTGTGCTTTACTAGAAAACAAATTATTTTTTCGTAATATTTTATTTTATCATTATGACATATTTAGTTCCTATCACAATCTGTTCTTTTCTGCATAATACTTTTACAAAATAATGTCGATGTTTCACATCTGCCAGGCGTCCCGTGACGGCTCACATTTTTTTGTTTCACGTATTAATATATAGATACCCAACATATAGTCCGCAATGAATATACACAAGTTTCAAAGGAATAATCAAATGTTTTACAATTCCACATAATTGTTTCACATCCAAACTAATTGTTGACATAAAGAATTGGCCGGAATATATATTTTCTACATAATCCTTGCCTTATGAAGAAAAGACAATTTAAATGCTTGTAAGACCTTCGAGAGGCGACTGCTATATTCTGGGTACCAGTACTTACTTGTTGGAACAGGAGGAGCTCCTACGCCCCGCTCTGGCACCTGTAGGAGACGGTCTCTATTGGTGATCCGATCCAAATAAAGTATAATAAGTAAGTATAATAAGTATATAAGATAAGTAAAATATATATCGCTAATTATAAATATTTAATGTTAATTATAATCATTCTAAAATTCGATTCGGTTATTAATAACTTTAAAAAATGCAGAGTGAAAGTATCGATTTGTTTGGCAAAAGATTATAGTTTAGATCTATGATGTCTTGATGGGA